AGGAAACCAGTTACTGACAAAACAGCAATTTGATCAACTAGAAAGGATTGAAGAAACATCTAGAAGGATATATGACAAATATTATAAAGACATGATAATACTTTTATTTATTTTTTATTTTCTTGATGTTAAAGCCAAAACATAATGTGCTTATATTTTAGAGGCAAAAAAAATTGCATATGTAGAAACTTGTTCTGTAAAATTGTAATTATCAACTGTGTGCAAAAGTAGGCATTTACACACAGGAAAAGAAGAAAAGCTGTGTAGCAGTAAACAATATGGTCTTATTTCTCTCCTCTCTGTTATAAATTTAAACAGTTTCTTACCTTTCTCTGAGGTGTAAATGGAGTGCTTAAGCAGAAATCTGTGCCACATTCAAGTTTTTCTCTCAACATCAATACTACAATTCCAGGTCTACCTAGGATTTCTTGCCCTTAATACTTCAGCAACCTTAACACAGCTAGAAAGTAGAACTTAGTGCAGAAATCAATTTTTAGTAAAGGTAGTTGTGTAGATATTTGGGGTGGTAGTTGCCCAGCTGAGTGAAAATTTAGTCTTGAACATAATATAGTCTTGAGCATAATACCTTTACTTACTTTGTCTCTGTTTTCCTTTGAACACATTCCAATATCCTGCCACCCCCAGGGTTACCGTATATGGTTTGAAGATTCCAGACTTCCTCTAGGTTGGATAATGATTTACATTTAGAAAACCTTATATTTTTATTATGGCTTATTTTTTAAAGTATTAAGATATATTTTATGATTGTAATTTTCAGCTAGTTGATATCTTGGACTCACTTAATCCAACCCTTCCTTTTCCATATTGATGAAGTTCAAGAATTTGAGGAACTTGCACAGGGTTCCAAGGCCTATAAAACGGGCAGAACATGGACCAGAGAACCCGGGTCTCTTGTCGTTCTCTCTGCTGCACACCTCATTTTCCTTTGTCAGAAATGAAACTATCAGTCACAGTTCTGTGTATGGCACTTAGGGTCTTATATGGAGGCATATTCTTCTAAGAATATTACGGTAAATAGCTTTCAAGGCATAATTTTGTCTATTTATAATTCAATAATTTGTTGTTGATTTTTTTAAAGAGGTGGATTATTACTATTTTGGTAATTATTTCAGCAGCCTCTAATGCTTATTCTTTTCCCTACGCTTCTAATTAGTAAATATACTCCTTACTCTTGTATTAAGGACCCATATATATATGGGTCTTGTATTTATATATACAAAAAGAATGCATATTGTATTATAAATGTTTATTGTGAATCTTGCTCTATGAATTACATAAGGTAAAGATTTTTGTCTTGTTAACATTTATATCCCTCACAGCACAATGCCTGGTGCACAGTAGGTCCTACTGATTGTCATAATTGCTACGAGAGTTAGGTATATGTGAATTTCTTTATTCCAATATTTGGGATTCCTTTCTTTTCCTCCTTTTTTCTGTCCTCCCTGCTACAATTTTTTTTTTGTCCTTACTGTGGCTCTCACTTTTTCTATAATAGCCAAATTAAATCCTGTTAACAATATAGTACTCATAATAAATAAAAACATACTCCCTCTAATTCTTGTACAGGATGCAATTTGACATAAGTGACATATTTTAAATAAGGGGTGATCAAAAAATTCCAATTAAAAATATGCTAGCAAATGTTCAGGATACACTTAAATTTCATTTCACTGAGTGACTGGTGCAGTAGGTTGTTGGAATGATTAGGCTTTTACCAGCTCTATAAAGCAACTGTTACTTAGGTGACATGTTTCCCTGACTTTGTTTTTTTGGTCCTTACCCAGACAATTATCAACTTTCCAGTTTTCTATGGATATGAAGATTTACTCCTAGTCATCAGTGGGACCCCATGAAGTCAGCCAGAAAGCCTATGTACAACTTATGTACCTTTGCAAACTTGTCTGGATTTTGAATGTATGTGCAAAACAGATTGTACTTAGCTATTCATTAAACATCTATTGAGTGTCTACTGTCTGTCAGGCACTGTGCTAGGCAACTGAGAAGCAAGGATGGTCCCTACAGTTAATGTGAAGAGACATCTTAATTGTATTCCAGAAGTGTATTGGTCATATCTTTATTTTGATGTTTCTACCTAAATAAATTTTATATTAACTAAATGGATACTGTTAGGTGGAAAAATGCATGTTTAAGAATGATATTGCTGTATTTTATTAAAATGGAAGAATATATAGAAAAATTTTCCACTTAATACTGTATTCTGGGGATTTCTATTCTGTATATAATTTACTAATTTTAGACCATGAAAATAGTCTATGTAGCTATCATTGCTAGTATTTTATTGCTATATACTTTTATTTGAAGATGACCAACACTGTTCGTTAAAGTATCTCTTATTAAATTATTACCAAAAAAAAAAACTTTCCCAACTTAAACTTTTTTCCTCAAAAGTAACTTTTTTCTTTTTATATCTCATAACAGTTTGTCTTTCGTGGTTCATTGGAAGACGTTGTACTTTTTCATTCTGAGCTTTTACTTATTTTATACCATAGTTTAAGCTGACAGTATGATTTAATTATCATAGAATAATTATAGTATATTCTATTTAGGAGTTTTGGAATTTTTAATGTGTACTAGATATATTCTTCCTAGGTCTTCATAAGAAACGTCCCAGTTCTAGTTCTAAATTAGTTGCAATGTTTAGTCTTTATAATGTGATATTGTTTCTATAACTTTAGTAAAATGAGTTGCAAGTTTCTTAGTAGATAGTTTCAAAAACAAAGACTGTCGTCTTGGTTCCTCTCATGGCTTTCATATGTAATTTAAAAGTATATTAGAGAGAAAGAGATTTCCTAGATTTCCTTTGCCCTCTTAATATACCTTTTAGAATAATACTGATTTACAATTTCAAAGGAAAAGATCCCCTGCTTGTACAGTATGTTATGACGGCAAATAGACAAAATTTTGAGGGTCAATTCTGATCTCTTTCAGATTCATTCTTAATCTTCTATTTTAGTAATAGTCATAGTTACCATGTATTATAAGTGTCTAGCACTGTGATAAATATATCAATCCCAGTTAGTCTTTACAGTTGCCTGAACTTTGTGACATTGTCCCCATGTTACAAATGAGGAAACCAGTTACTGACAAAACAGCAATTTGATATATAGCAGCAAAATACTCTATCACAGTAAATTCATGACACTTTCTAATTCAAAACACAGTCACAATAAAGAGTTTTATCAGTCAGTAAGTACCCTAATAAACATTAGTAAAATCATAGCCCCAGGAGCTTATTGATAGAGTGATGGAAATTTTCTAAAAGTTTTCAAGGACAGAAAAACAAAAACCCAATTCTTTCTAAGTAACATAGATGCAGACTAGTGTACAATTTGAAATAAAATATACATAGTCAATCTTCTCTTTTTTATGGCAAAAATGACACTTAGGCCTTCTACATATTAAACTTCCTGTGTTTTTCATGGAGTTATATGAACATTTTACTGCATGATGTTTGGT